TATTAATGGTGTGCATTTTTTCTGAAGGGCATACGTCCGCATTTTCAAGTTCAAACAAGGCGTGGAATGGGAAATACAAAATTTCCTATTTTACATGTGCTAGTCCACGAATTTTGGGTGATATGTAATCTCGATGTTCTTTGGCCAAAAAATTTTGTGGGCTTTTCTGCGACCTTATAAATGTCGTGGGTTGGTTGAGAGGGGCACACATCGGCATTTTTAAGTTCAAACGACGCGCCGCAATGGGAAATACATATTTTTCTATTTTTCATGTGTTATAATCCATGGATTTTGGGTGACATGTGCGCCCAAAGGTTTTTGTCTGGAATATTTTGTGGGCATCTATTTAATGGGGCTCGTCAGTTCGAAGCCACTTAATTTTTTCAGCCCTTTAAAATTTATTTATCCCTTCACCAATGATTATTTATTTATTAGAAAATTTAATATCTCAGGTTAATGTACACTTGATTCCCCAAAAATATCAAATAGTAACACTTCATGGAAGCAAAAGGATAAATTATAAAATCAAATTAAAGATGATTGATTGAAGCATAAATGAAAAGATGTTGTAATTATCATTTTCTTTTACATTATTAATGTATGTTACTACGCAATCTTGTGTGTAAGATAATATAATGTTTTAGTTTTAATGACTGATAGGTTTTAAGTATTATTTTATAAATTCCTTCATATTGAACTCCCGCGCGAGGCGCGGATAATTTTACTAGTCAAAAAATAAAAGAAAATTAATCATAGTGGTAATTTAATGTGAGATCACACATTTGTGAAAGATCCTAGAATTAAGATATATTTGTTAAGTTTATTTAACAGAGGAAATAAATAAAAATAAATGTATAATATACTCTATTGACTTTATAAAAGAATAAAATGAAAACATGATGAGTAGGTTCACTTACACGTCTCTCATTTCTACTTTTTTTAGGGCACAAGAATATAAAATTTGGATCACATTTTGAAAAATATTCAGAGCAAATACATTCAGCTTTTAAATAAGGAATTAAGAAATGAAATCTATGTCACAATAAAAATATTAATATAGTACTCTCAGTCAGTTCATCCATGCCCTGAATTGCCTACGTAACATTCTATCCTTATACCATAAAATGTAAAATTCTATCCCTATAGCCTAAAATATAAATTTATTAAGACTCAAAAACCCATAAAAATCAGTCACACATGGGAAAAGAGAGAGAAAGAGAAACAATGCAACACAATATGCAATTAATAACATATGTATTAACACATAATTGTTAGATTTAGCAAGAAATGAAAATTCTAATTTCTATGAATAAACTTAGAAAAATCTAAAATAGTTAACACCAAACGTAACACATAAATAAAACAACTAAATATAAGGTATTTTAACAAGTGTTTTCAAGATTTATCAACAAATAAAAATTCTAAGTCAAAAAATAACTAAAAACCCTTTAAAAAGCTATCCCCCAAATTTTAATCAACACATAAATACTACAATTCTTCCTAGTAGAAAAAAAATACACATAATCAAAGAGGGATAACACATATATTAACACATAATTGTCAGATTTAGCAAGAAATAGAAATTCTAACTCGGGAAATAAAATTAGAAACCCTTAAAGCTAGCAGTTGATAGCCAACTACGGGATTTTGAGAAAGGCTGCTACGAGAGCAGCAAACCGTAAACCCTAGCAGCAGCCATGTCTGCGCACATCTCTCCCCAGGCTTTGGTTGTGGGAGAGACAAATGTTAATCCTAATCAACAAACATCCTTTGATACTTGATTAACCACAAATCAAGCTGCCCGAAAATTGACAAAAATCCAGTTCAAACAGATCAATATGTACATGGAGAGCCTACAATTCAATTCACAAAGGGAGAACGCCAGGTTTTCGCAAAGGAAGAAGGATTGCATCAAGCTGTAATTATTAAGTTCTCATCTGATACACTAGAAGTAAAGGATTTGCGAACAGTTTTACCTAACCACTTGGGCATCAAAAGAAACTGTTTAGTTGGTTTACTTTCTCGTAGACATATTCTACTAAGGATAGAACAATATGAAGATTATGTGATTGCTCTATCAAAATCGGTAAGCTTTTTGCCTTTCCATGGACAACAACATCTTGATTGGGTATTTCCTTGGACAATAGATTTCAATTCAAGAGAAGAAACTTCAATGGCCACGGTGTGGATTTCACTGCCTCGATTATCACCAGATTTATTTGCCAAGGATCCTTGTTGTCGATGGCATCAGCGGTTGGAAGGCCAATAGAAATTGATAAGGCAACACAAGACAAGACAAGGCCTAGCACTGCTAGGGTGAAGGTGATACTTGATCTTATGGACAATCTGCCTTAGAGGATGCATCTACAGTATTTGGACGAGCAAACCGTGTAAGATTCAAGAGGTTTTTCAGGAATTTGTTTATGATAATTTACCTTTATATTGTAAGCATTAAGGTCATGATGAAAAAAATTGTTGATTGATTTTGAAAAGGAATCAAGATAACAATCACAAAGATAATGGAGTGGTTGGAGATGAACAATTCAATAGTGAGAAATTTCAAGGTGATTTGCGACAAATTTTAAATGAGAAGAGGGGAGTAGAAAACATAGATCAAAGTATTCATGATAATACTCGAGTTGCAGATGCAAATAATAATGAAATAGCAATGGTGGAAGCCATTAAAAATAATGGAGATCGAGTTGTAGATAGTTGTGTTCAAGATGATACTCTTAATACTACAGTTACACTAAATTGTACCTTAGCTACGGTCTCGCAGACTTTGGTTTTGGGTTCAAAGGAAAGTGTTACTAGTGATTCGGTGGTTCCTGAGATTAATTTGGAGTCTAGTCTAGTTTTGAATCCTAAACTACCTACTGTTGGTGTTTTATCTGGGAAAGATCCTAGTTTGGCCACGATTGAAGATTTTGTCCAGGCTAATAAGATGCAGCAGTGTGAAGAGAATTTGGATCAAATTTTCGAATCTGGTGGTACATGTGATCATGACATCACTTTGAAGGACAATGATAAGGGACGCTGGACTGAAGTACCAAGCAAAATGTTTTCTCCAGGTAACAGCAAACTACAACACCTAGATTGCACTAACCCAGCATGCAAGGACCAAACGATAAATTGTGAAGATAAAGTATCAGGGAAGGTTGTGTGCTCTAACACCTTTGATGCCTTAATGATCAATTTCGATCAAGAGCTCCATGCATTGTCCACTCCAATTCTTCAAGTTTCTAATCCAGAAACAACTAGAATAATCAAGGAGTCACATGCCGCAATGTTGAATAAAGAAAACCCAATGGTCAAACCACCTATGGAAACAATCAACACCTAGAATCATGATGTTCCTAATTATCCATCATTGGAGTCTCTTGGAGAGAAAATATTTGGAAAACAGTCAATCTCCAAAAGAAATGACAAGAGTTTGGGGAAGGAAACAAGTGCTTCTAGATGGGCAAATTTAGTTGAGGAAGAAGAACATATTTCTGCACCTGCAAGGAGTAAGTTAAGTCCTCAAGCACCCATATTTGTGCCTTCAAGTAAGGCAAATCCATCTATGGCAGTGACAATTGATAACTCCGAAAAGATCTTGACCATTACCACCAAGGTATTGGAAAAAATCCATGAGCCAAAAGCTAGAGTTTCAAGACTTAGTCCAACTACAACTTATGCTAGTGACTTGAGCATTGAAAAGTTTGATGAGGATGAGATGCTACACATATCATTTGATAAGGTAGCCAAGGATGGAGATCTCTCGCCTAGTCAACAAAGAAGTGGAAGAAACAAAAACAAAAATAAGAAACATGAAAGGTAACATAGTTGGGATGGTAAGGTTACTGAGGAATTTATTCCAGGGCACCTACCAATTCGACTGGCAAAGCAAAATTATATGAAAGCTTCAACAACAACATGATCCAGTAAATCCAAAAAGAAGTGAAGAACTATTAAGTTTTGTTGGAAAACGTTGACGAAGAAACAAGAGGGAAATACTTCAGGTTACTTTACACGGGCAATCCAATTCTTTTAACTTTTACATATCTTAAATGAAGATTGAGGTTGATAACTCAGCTTTATTCTTAGATTTTTTATTTTTGCATTTCTTAAGCATCCTCATTTGTAGTATCATCACAGAGTGTATTATAAACTCTATGATGATTATAGAATATCTAGTTTTCTCTAACTCTTATTTTTTTCATGCTTGTTAATTAGTAGAGGTTCGTTACCTCATTAAGATTAGTAAGGTAAGACCTAGCCCCCCTTGCTTTTACTTTTCTCATTGAGATCTTTTTTTCTTTATTAATAAAATTAGCCCTAGGCACACATTGCCTAGGGGAGTTGCTTAAAAAAAGCAGTTGATAGCAAATCTTAACACTTAAAGAAAACAACTTATATTTAGCAAGCCATGAAAATATTTAGTGGAAAAGTAACATAGTAATCCTATAAAAAGTTAAACCCCAAACCCTGATAAACACATTAATAATTAAAAAGCTTACAACAGAGGAACAAAACTACACATAATCGAATAGAAATAATTAAAAAATGACATATTTTACAACATTTAGACGAGTTAAGATAGATGATATTAGCCCGGTGATATTCACTTGCATGTAACTCTCTTTTCCTCTCTCATGTTGAGGAACAAGCGTAATGTTTTTTTAAAAATAGGTTAATTTAGTTTAGTGGCTTGAGATTGAATTTTTTTTTAAAAAGAATATGGGATCAATATTTATGTAGAATAGAAACTATCACTTGCTTCTAATTAATTAAGCTTAAAAAAAATAACCATCACATAGAAATAAATAACTCAAATCATTGGAAAATAACCTTAATATAACATTGACTGGAAGAACTTTAGTTGGTACAACAACAAAAGGAACGATGCAATAACAACGATACAAAAGCTAATGCCTTTTCGGGCAATAGCCATTGAATTTATTCAGTACAAAAACAAAAGAAAACATCAAATAACATCAATAACAATGATGCTTAATCTATTCTCCATCAATAAATATATGGTTTAAAGGGTGCTCTACATAACCTCCACTAGCGTGTTCGACAAATTCAGCTGCATTTAGAAGATCACCATGACAAAGAAAAACTATCTCCACTTCATCTTTCTTGTTACACGGGTATAACAATCCTTCAGTCTTCTTTCCATTTGGTCCTTTACCTCTTGTGGAAACAAAAGTCATATGGTTGAGCATGAAGTTTTTTATCTTCCCTTTAGCAATATAATTTCCTGAATACACAGGTGATTTATGTTCAACGAAAGATGATTTCACATTGAGAACTAAAGGAAAAAAAATTATTTCCTACTTTAATTTTGATACAAATACAAATTGACTTACTATATAAATCAATTCGCAAAATTTTGATACCTTGAGTAGGTGGTTGTTGGGACTTGAAGCACCACTTCCTTGCGATCCACCTGAAAACATCGAAGAATATTTTTCATTAGTTATTCACAAAAAACGATTCATTTTTTTTAGTGAACATCAAAATTACATTCAATGAAAGCCCTAAATTCAGTTCCACATTTTCATTCTCTACATTTGAAGTTCCTATGTTTTCTTCAGCTTTCTCCATGTTAGCGAAACCTAAAAACCGAGAAAGCTATTGAATTTCAAACTAAAAAATTATAAAATGGAAAAAGAAAAACTCAATGAAAGTTTTAGTGAAGAGAAACCATTAGGCCATTTGGGAACTTATAAAGGAGAAAATTTCTAGGTGGGAAGGTAGAAAAAACGCGAAGAGATATTTCATTTCCATGGGTTTAGTAAAATAACAAAATAGCCCTTGGAAAGTAACACATGGTTTTTCTAGGAATAGCCTGACTACATGGTTTAACAAGGACTTTGGAAATTGAACCCAAGAGGTAACTGTTTAATAGTGACACATGTCACTTATAAATCCACTTTATAACTTTTTTTGGCCACTTTAAAAAGAGGAAAAGGTTGAATGTATTTTTCTACTGTAGTTTATTGGTCAAATTTATTAAATGTTAATTATCCCATGATTTTTACTTTCAACATTATTGAATTTAATAGGGTAAACAATACAAATTTTATTTGTTTAGGGCCTAATACGTGCATTTTCATGAGTTTTCAAAATTATCATCGTGCCAATTTTTGGGAATCTGACATATCTAGTTTTCAAATATAGAAAAAGAAAAATAATGATTATATTTTAAATGGATTCAAAAGGAAAGTAGGTGTGACAAAATGGAAACGAGGGTGTATATCTTTTTCAAATATTTAAGAAGTAAATTATTACGTTAATGATCATTTTAGAATAACTTCAACAACCTATTTAGGATAAATAATCAACTAATAACCATTAATGACATAATTATCTTGAATGTCTAGATCTCATTAATT